AAATAGTAATTTCAAGTGGCTTTGCTAATATTTGTTTTTTGAATGGGTCCAGCCCAAGTCTACAACCTGTGCAGACGTGCAAAACAGGAGGAATTCATAATTACTATTGAGAACAGATGCTAGAACATGTCAGTTATAGAATGACAAAGCAAAGAAAATACCTTCAAATTGTCAACAAATGTGGGCTCCTGACCACTGAAGGGCATTTAATATTTTACATAAAAAGGAAAGTTGGCATAAAACCCCACAAACAACTTGCCAAACCGCCACCAGCAGGGTCATCACATACAAAGTTCTTACAAACTTGGTAATTTCTACATTGTCCTTAATGTGCAGGCTCATATCTTCTCCAGAAGATGCCAAAACACTTACAATTTTGGTTTTATTTAAATGCCTTTTTTAAAATTTTAAAACCTATACTGAAAATGTTTCACTTCTGAAAAAACCTACTAATGCACCCTTTCAGAACAGAGAAGCATGCGTATATAAAGTCAGTACAGGTGCTTTTTCTGCTACCTTTAAGAAAGCAAAGAATGTAATTCTAAGTAAAACTAAGCAGCAGCAGCCTGTTCTGTCATTAAATCAAATGCAGTTTCACAGTTGAAAAAGTTACTAGCTTTAAATTTGTGTTTCAATAAAACTCCATTTCCTAATGCTTTGTGACAAAGCACATGGCCCACTCCTGGGATCCTTGCTCTGGCAGTCTTACAATGAAGTTCTGCAGGAGCAAGGTGTTCAGATTCAATTCAATCTCAAAATAAGCTACTTTAGTGTTTTGTGCAGCTGATTCTCAGAGCAAAGGGAACATTTTGAAATCTCCAAGAGGTGAGAATAGATAAAAATAAGCCAAATTCCAAGCTATCTCTGTAAAAATCTAGAGCTCAGTTGCAGGTGCTTTCATGGTCTGTAAGCAGATCTTATTTCTGATACTGTGAGCAGATGACATCCTCTCATTTACAGCAGTGTAAGGAAACAGAACCTCCACTACCTGCAGTGAAGTTACACCAGCACAGAACGGGCGTAACAGGATACGGTAATTAGGGTTGAACACTTTGAAGCTGAGAAAAGGATTTGTTTTTTTCCTGAAACACCAGCAGAATATTTTTCAAATGCCCATCCTGGTTATGGTAAGAACTGCTTAAAGCCCATGAGTTTCTCCTACTTTTTAAAAAAATTTTATTTAAAATTTTTGTAATTATCCTGAATTGTATTATGTCTGCATCCCTATGAAGTTTCCTTTCTTTTACTATTTGATTCTCATAATAACTTCTACAGCTTATGCACATTTCATTGCAGTAACTTTTGGAAACAGAACCTGATTCCTCATACCTCTGTCTGGGCAAAAAGGGTGCAGAACACTGTGTGCTTGAACTGAAAGACATTTATACTCATATTTACAGAAGTAAAGGGCTAGGAAGGGGCAAGGTACAAAGAAAGTTGGGCTCATAACATCTGATAAATTTTGAGTTGATCTTTTCATCCAGGCTGGAAAAAGCTGACCATCTCTTAGATAAACGAGGTAAAGCATTGTTTCAACACCAGATAAATAAGGATAATATAGCACCTAATGTGACGTTTGTGCAACAGGTTTACTCAGTTAAAATAAGAGAGACAGCCAACAGGGTTTCAGATTTTGTGAACTAAACTTAAACTGAAACTAAACCATGTTTCAAGAGCTAAACAATTAGTGTGTGTTGACTGTAAAGTAATAGATAAAAGGGTAACTTTGCTCTAGAAAGTACAACGAAGGTTAGCAGGAGTTAAAATATTCATATGAACAAAAAGGAATATGTAACAGTCAATAAAAAGAGTAATGGGAAGTCTAGTGGACTACTCCAAAATATTTAGTAGAACTAAGGAAATAAAACTTCACATTTCCCATACTATTCTTGGAGCTTCTGTAGTGTTCACAAACCCAGGTTTTCCCCCAAACATCAAGAGTCCTTGTGTGCAGTAATAGACTGCAGGATCCTGACTATGAAAGTGTCTTGAAACACCAAAGCCTTGGCTTTACAATCCCCAAAGTCTTTCATAATGTAATTGATTGCACATTTTTAATATATTACAATTTGCCTAATGAAGCCAACCACTCATTACCTCATCAGTACAGCCTGCACAAAGTACAGTTTATTATATACTTATATTCTAATCTAACACCAACTGTCAGCATATTTTATATTACACGTGGTATTGCACTTTCTGAGTGGCACCTCGGTGCGTGTTTGCAAGCGAACAAGCTGAACCCCCGAAAGCCCCAAACCTTTGGAATTCACTCCAAGTGCTGCCAATCTAGCAAGTTTAAAATGTTAGGGTGAACATCACCCACAGAATCATGGGCTTCACTAATTAGAAAAACCTCTTTAATAATTAGAAAAACAGTCCTATCTGAAGTTGTGCATACGGGCAATCTGAAATCCTCAGTACTCTGAACAGTTTCAAAAAGTGGTGCCAATTTCATTAATTGCACACGTAATTGTGTTAAAGGACAACAACTAGATTTACAAATATATATTACACACAGGCACAAAACAGACAAAGCTATAAAATGTTTGGTAACTCCACATGCTTTGAGCTAGCCAACATATCTGCTGCATGTTGAACTGCTTGTTATAGATCATATTGAAAATCTAAATTGCTATTTCTGATGTATCTTACTGGATTCAACAACCACTTCCAAAGGAGGAAGAAAGAGGAGAAATGGTAGACCCAAAAATGGAGGGTTTAAATGTACTTTCTTTGAATACCCAGCATATCACTTCCATAATGTGAAGAGTGATTCCCCAAATTTTTTTAAGAGACTTAGGCCAAGTTTACCTCTGGCATTAGTGGGTGTATCCCCCACTACTTCACTGGTACTTGTGTCCTCTTTCACTAGGGCTGAATTTGGTCCCAGGAGTATATCTGGTAACCTTAAGTGACATTAATGAAAATGGGAGTCTTGGACAGATAGAACTGGGCTGCAAAATTAAAAGAGTGAATATGGGACAAATCATGTAAATAAAGAATATATATTAATAATAGTTCCTATTATATAAATAGCCTTTATAAAAAAATAATCTTTCAATAATTTTAATAACTCACCTTTCTTTAGGTTCTGGAAAACATGTATGAAAAAAATCTATTCAGTTCAAGTTAGATTAAAGCAAACCTAAGATGAACACTACAGCTCTCTGTTGCACTAAACCCAATTCTGACCATTCGATTTCCAGGTTACTCAGTTTTTGGGGATGATAGGGAGTTTCTTTGTGAAGGTATGAATTGCACCCCTAGAAATACTGAGCAGAAGAAACACCATACTGAGTGGGCCTATTTCCTACTGCTTTCAGAAACTGTGCAGATGATGGACCCAGAAATCAAAGGGTCACCTGAACCCCGCAAATGTTAATGCCTCCGAGCACATTTAAAAGGCACTGTCCTCTCACTACTGTATTTAGATCTTTGAGCTTAAAACTCCTCGTCAAACTATGCTGCATTTAAGCATTTGCTACCACTTGAATTCTATTTCCACTCTTCTCGATCCAGCATAGTCTCTACCTGCTGTACCAGATCTAAGATAATAAGTGATGGACTCTTATGTTCATGCTAGAACTATTTTCTTTTTCCTTCTAATTTATCCTGTCAAATGAAAAAAGGAAACATTCTTCCAAGTTTACCTTTTTGGGCTTAAGGCATAACATGAATCATAAAATCACACAATATGCTGAGCTGGAAGGGACCCACAAGGATCATCAATTCCAACTCCTGGCTCTGCACAGGACACTCCAAGAGTCACACCATGTGCCTGAGAATGTTGTCCAAATGCTTCTTGAACTCTGGCAGGCTTGGTGCTGAGACCACTTCCCTGGGGAGCCTGTTCCAGTGCCCAACCACTCTCTGTGTAAAAAACCTTTTCCTGATATCCAACCTAAACCTCCCCTGATTCAGCTTCATGCCGTTTCCTCGAGTCCTGTCACTGGTCACCACAGAGCAGAGATCAGTGCCTGTCCCTCCTCTCCCCCTCACGAGGAAGTTGTAACTGCAATGAGGTCTCCCCTCAGTCTCCTCCAGGCTGAACAAACCAAGTGACCTCATCCGCTCCTCACAAGGCTTCCCCTCCAGACCCTTTACCATCTTCATGGCCCTCCTTTGGACGCTCTCTAACAGCTTAATGTCTTTTTTATATTGTAGTGCCCCAAACTGCACACAGAACTCAAGGTGAGGCCGCCCCAGTGCAGAGCAGAGCAGGACAATCACCTCCCTCACTCGGCTGGCGATGCTTTGCCTGATGCCCCCCCGGACACGGTTGGCCCTCCTGGCTGCCAGGGCACTGCTGACTCATATTCAACCTGCCAGGGACCAGGACCCCCAGGTCCCTTTCCACAGCTACTCTTCAGCCTCATTCCCCAGTCTTTACAGCCAGGGTTGCCCCATCCCAGGTGCGGAATCTGGCACTTGCCCTTGTTAAAATTCACACGGCTGGTGATTGCCCATCTCTCTAATTTGTCAAGGTCTCTCTGCACACATCATACTAAAGCTTAATTTTTGAAGTGTACAATTTTAGTGCTATCTGAAACCCTGTTTTACATTATTTTCTGACAGTTGTCTGAACAATTAATCTCTTTTCTTGCCATAAATTCTAGTGTTGTTCATGGTTTGTGCAATTCCTATGCAACCAGTCTTTGCTGCTAACGGGTATTAACAGTGCAGTACCCACAAAGCTGGGTATCAGTTCTTGTTTTCTCTGCTGTCTGTTCAGTTCAAAGCATGTTGCTTTATTGTGTGGAAGATCCAGTCCATTTTTGTTGTCCAGCCACCATGGTGAGCATCATTCATTTGCTTCATGAAGTACTCCAGAGCTTCCTGCTCAGTTTTGTCCAATGCAAGGGTCTTTCGAATGTAAGCAATGTCATCAAAGGACTGCAGTTCTGGCATTCCTGAGCCAAGCATCATGGAGAAAAGGTTGATGAAGAGATTGGCATGCTGCCGAATTGCTAGGTAAGCCTTATAGCACATCTCCTGAAACCTGGAAGAGACCAGGGGGAAAAAAGCTCAGTGTATTTCCCTACGAGGTGCATGTTACTTCTTCACCTCAAAACCAGTTTTCAGATAACCAGACACTAAAAACTGGACACTCTTAGTCTACTAAGAACACCATGATGTTGCTGAGAAGGTACACTCCTCTTCCTACTTAGTTTATCTCCATCTGTACATGAATTAGTAGTGGTCAGACTAACACAACAGCCAAACTAAAGTCAGGCTTTCTAGCCTTAAACCCCACGTGCAATTCATGCAACTGTTCAGCACAAATTTATGGGAGTTCACAGAGATGTTTGAACTGACATTTCTACTGACATTTCAGATTTTAAAACATGTTTCCAGATACACTGCTGCAAACAGTGCTTTCCTGGTTATCATCAGAGATGCACTTTTCCTGTAGTTTTACGAAGGCAGTAGCTTTTGCTCCTTAGATACGCTGAAGAATACATTGAAAACAGGGACATTTGCTGTATCCCATTGGATGAAAAATACACATTTTTGCTGAAATCATTAACTTGAGTCAGGTTAAGGGGAAAAAGACTGGATTGCTGGAAAGAGATATTAAGAATGACTACAGCAACTATTATTATTATTATCATTATTATTATTTTAAAGTTCTCCTTTCTCAGCAGGTTTTGGACAATATCCCAAACTACAGAGGCCATCTGAAGAGCTGGTACCACAGCAGCTATAGGAGGGAGAAGTATGGCTGAGTGACCAGCAAGGCTCTGATGCACATAACACCCAACATTTAAGAATTCTCAGTACTTGCAGTTTTGCAACGCCAAGAGGATTTTAAATGTTAAGTCAAAGAAATTTCAGATGTTTAAAAAATGATCATCTTTAATCACATGTGTGCTGACCCTGCAAATCTCAGTGAGATTTCATGGACCAAAGGTCACGTAAGTGCTAAGATTACCTATTGATTTACAAGGAGGTGGCTGATCTTCAACTAAAGAATTGGAAACATACCCACTGCAAGCCAATTAAAATACTACTTTTCAGTTATAAGGTCTAATTATTAAATGTCACCATAGTAAAGTGCATTTTAGGTACAAAATACTCTGGAGTTTAAATGCTTAAAAGAAGGCTCACCTTTCAAACTCCCTTGTTTTGGTACATTCTTGGGCTCCTTTACTAATCACTATTAAGAAGTCTTGTGTTAAGACAAATGGCACACGCTCTCTTTTATAACCAAATTTTTTCTTCTTGTGATCGAGGAAGTGCCCAAAGTCAATGTGAAACAGCTTGGAAAGACAGAAAGGTATTTTAAGATTAGTAATTCCATGTTTAAATGAAGTCACAGTAAAATCGATCATTTACTTATAGTTCTGATAGGTTGTTTTTTTTGAAAACAAACTCATATCAAAGTGAGGATGACCTTAGGGGTATGGTTTTAGAAAAACATATCTTACTTGTCCATCATCTTTGACCATGATGTTACTGTTGTGGCGATCACCAATGCCCAGGATAAAGGTGGCAACACAGTAGCCGGCACAAGAACGTGTAAACAAGTCAATAGCTGCATCATACCTACCCAAAACAGAAAAGGAGACACTTTCCTCAGGTATTCTAATAACACAGAAGTGCAAATTTTCCTTTCTCATTAAGAGAGCTACAAGCAGGAATACCGGGGAAACAAGGGCAGGTAAAAAAGAAAACAAAACCAAAACCAGATAGACACAATTATGGACATAAACTTCCCACTTGATGAACTTTAGTTCTCTTGAAATTTCCATCAAAAACAAGCACACGGACAAGAAAAACAGGCAACAGGAAATCTCACATGTCTCCTTTGTTCTTGTCCTTGAGCCACTGGTGCAATGTATGGCTGTTGAACTGCAGTGCTCCTTTTAAGCCTCCTTTACATTGAATCTGCATGATCGTGTGAGAGCTCCTCACGACCTCGATGAGTCCCACACAGTCACCAATTGATAAACAACCATAAGGCAACATCCTGAAAGACAAAGGTTAGTTCTTTGTTTTTGTTTTTTTTTTCCTTTATAGATAATGGTGGCAAGAGGTGGGACAGGGTCTATTTTTGCAGATTTCTGTATCTGACTACTGTTTAAGTCACAGGCAAGTGTAACTGCAAATCACTCTTGGACAAAGCCATAATTCTGTCACTCCTTACAGTACTGGAGACAAAACTGTGACCCATGAGAGATGATGCAGACCAGTAGGTCCTTTTGTCTAGATAAGGAAATGAAAACTGGGGGTTCCTTGACAGTGCAGTGACAGCTGTTACACACCCACCTAAAAATCCACCATGCAGCAAACACAAATTTGGAACCTGTCTAGCATCAGTTTTCCAGAAGCAGAATAGTTTATACTGAATGCCCTGCAGAAGCTGTGTACTCACAGGCTGTCTAGACATGGAGAAGCTGCACACAGATCACACTGGGCAATACCGACTGTGGGTACTGAAATGACAACCCCAATTACAAAGAGTCACTGCTCAAGAGGGCTGCGGGTTTGGCAACGTGTTCAAAGTCAAACCTACAGACACAATCAGCTGACCACAGTGTGGCTACTGAGCATTAGCCCTTGTATCCATCCCTGGTACGTAAATCACTCCTACCCACTTGAATAAGACTTGAGTATTTCTCAAATATGATCCTAGGTTTAGAAAATCCAGTAGTTTAGTTAACCGAAGGTTATTAAAAAATCAAATATTGCTCTAAAATGTACAAACATGCCTATTTATAGCATTTCATTTATTACCCTTGGGAAAACAGGAGCAATCTCTGGGAAAAAAAAAACAATGCAAAATCCATTAAGAACAGTATTGCTTGGAAATGACTTCTAATGCTTACCGAAGGTCAAGACCCTGATTTTGCCAGATGTTTTCCATAATTCTAATTATCTGAAGTGTCAGCATGTCCTGACGCAAGTCTGAAATAGTCAAAGGTTGCAAATTTTGTAACACCAGAATACTTGGTTAGATCTTACTTTACTTTTCCCCCCCAAAAGTATGTCTAAATACATCTAAAGGTAATGAGGTTTGCACAGTTTAGGGTTTGTTCCCTCAATAGAGAAAAGCGTGTTTTAAATAGTCAAAAATCAATATAAACTTCTGGTGGTGATTTTAAAAATATACACTAAATCCATGAAAATGGAATTATAGATTACACATCTGTAGTATCTTGAAGACATCTTCAAGTAAAAAGAACAAACAGTACATAGTATCATGTTCCACCTCAACAGGCTGAACATCTTAGAACATACAAAATTTGTACTTGATTGAGATAAATACTTATTTGTCCATGTTTAGTTTTTCTGGAAAAAAAAATGGCTTTGTTCAGCTGATTTTTAAAATTATTTTTTTTATATATGTATTTTATATGCTTAGAAAAACCACTAAACAATAGGTTAGGAAAATAAACAGATATGTAGTGTTTGAATTACACTTATTTTTCCTTACCATCTCCATTTTTAAATATTATCTCATTGTTCTGAAATAACAATTCAGACATAATATCTGGGTTTTCCCAGTTCAACCACAGCGGCCTTTTTGCAGATGACATTATCCTGCACTCCTCAAGCCTAAAAGAGATAAGATATCTATGAAATAGGCACAATTTGATACTCATATCATGTTTCTGTAATACTGTATAGTTTTGTTCCCCCTGTTTTGGAGAATATCTGAACTCGTACCAAATTAAAGATGCAGAGGTAACTGACAATCCATGATTTTTAATTTCAGACTCAGACTTAAATTAGTAAGTGCAATGTTAACCATTTGTTAAGACCAACAGAAGATATGGTTATGCAGTAAATACTCCTTTGGTAGTGCATGGTCCTTACAACTGGAAAAAGGATTGCAGTTCCCATCACCTTAAAGGAACAGCTAAGGATCACGTTGTTCCCTAATTTCTTACACCATTAGATTGAAATGACTGTCCTGTTTATGGATTACTCTGCTACAGATTTTATTCAGTGAAGTTTGAAGATACTAACATTTAATATGTTAACATTTAACCTCAATGCTGTCAGTGTTACCATGGCTAAACATTTACTTAAATACCCAGACAAACTTCAGAACTGAATACGATACCGAAGATTCCCCAGCTGATGCGCAGGATTGAGAGGAGAGATAAAACCTTGCAAGGCATCCATGAAATCTGGCCGCCTCATCTGTTCCACAAGGAACTTCATCTGTACCTGATAAATAATCACATTACACAAATTGAAACCTTTAACTTTAGCTCTATTGCCTGAAGGGGTAGACAATGGCATTGCACAGAAAATATTACAGCTCCTAGGATAACATAAACCTAAACCTACTGAAGTTGGCATTAACGCTTTCCTAGTTCATCACATAGAACAGTTCTAAGTAATTCCTATGACAAAACAGCAACAGTTTCGATACATGGACAGATTATAATACCTTCTGGGTCTCATCTTTTTTCTCCTGCTTGAGAATATCTGTGAGGTTGATCAACTTCTCCATAGCCTCCACCTGCCTGCTCAGATGCTTTAGGTACATTCCACACGCTCGACAGTAGGACTCCAGAAGTAAACCAAACCTCTGACTGACAGTTTTATTGTGCATTTCAGACCTACACAGAGAGGAAGAACAGTTGCAGCTTAGAGACAAGACCACTTAGAGGTGTCAAAAATTAAGCTATACTTGTAACTTCCTCATACAGTCCTAAAATACATCCCCTCAAACAAGTTAACCAGGCAACTTATTCCCTTTTCCTTGATGGTTACCAAGGAAAGCAGAAAACTGAAAGCACAAAGATGCCTTGCTTCTACTTCTGTGTCTGATCACACCAGCTTAGAGCAGCATTTTTAGGTGAGACCAAGCTACAGCCTTGTATGTTGGAGACTGATCTATACTCAGTCTTCTCAACGTTAGGAATTTCAAAAGCCCATGTTATATTCAGTAAGGAAGAACACTGAGATATTTGGGCTATCAAGCTCTATAATAAGCCCGTAATAGGCAAGGAAAAAGAGTTTTTAGTAAGCTTTTTCAAAGCTTTATCTGGTCAAATTGAGTGGCTTCCATTAGGCCTCATATATTTGTAAAATTATCTGGAAAAAACTGATGGAGGACTGGGCAGCTAAAAATCTGAGAGGCTTTCAGCAGTCTCAGACTACCTTGTTTTTACAATAATCATCATTAGACAAAAAGAAGGACATGCCTAAGTATCTATTAACTAGCTTTTGAAACCGCAAGACATGATTTCTATCACCAAACTATGCATTCAAACTCTTAACCAACATAAACTAATCTTTATTCTGAGTGGTAACATTTTCTTAAGAATGGACATTTAGTATGCCAAGCCTTTAGAACAACTAATTGTTGTTAGTTGTTCTAACTAACACCACCCCTTAACATGACATTAAGCTTACTTTAGATGCCAAAAGAAGAAGTGTCCTATCCTTTGATTGGTCAGTGCTTTCTTGAGTAAAAATCTCACAAGCTGATTATCTAAATACTGTTCGTATTTCAGAACCTAGTTAAGGATAAAAGAAAATGAAAAAAATCATCTGCAGTTATTATTTCTATGAAAAATATACAGATTAAAGACAGTTAAATAAAAAGCAATCTATGTTTTACATTAATTTTTGTAGAATGACTGATCTTGGTATTAATACTTGCATGTGTTAGGATTTGAACAATATATGCTAACTGTGCACTGGCTGCTTCTATTTCAGGGACTTACCATCTGATGCTTCCTTTACTGTTACCAAATATTTTAGCCTCAACTTGCTCAAAATTTTGAGAAGATGCTTCTGCTCATACTTTCCCTTATGTTAGGACAGCTGAAATAGCTGCCTGTTCCAGTTGGTAGAACAGTTTTGCATCTCTGCAAAATTCTGGCATTCAGTATCAACAAGCAAAACCGCAGCACTACAGAAAATAAACTACATTTCATCTTCTCCTAAATAATCCACAAAGCAAACAGATATTTTTGCTGACCTATTTTTCACAACATCTTAATTTTTGTTGTATTTTAAGCCTCTGTGATCACTGAATATACACAAGACAACAAACACACCAAAATATGTTATGTACCTGTACCAGCTGGATCAGATACTGAGACAGTTTGTCATCTGTCAGGGACTTCTCCAGACACCGAACTGCAAAAGCTCGCACCATTGGATCTGGATAATTACAGTCCAAGAGCTCCATTGCTTGCTCTGGCTTGATTGAAGGCCAGTCTTTTACCAAACAGTACATCTGTGGACAAGAAGTCCAGGCATGTTACAAGTTTGCACTGATTAGGAAGAAGCTGTAATACAGAGCCATTGGCAGGTATTGTCAGACACAAACTGCATCCGAGTAGAAGCAATTTACTTCCTTGTCCTCTCAATCAATAATTTGATATTAGTTGCCAGTTGACTTTGTTGTTTTACCCACTACAAAAAGAATGAAAACAAACTCTCACATTTAACTGACAAGTTGCAACCTAAGAGGGATTCAAGTAATGCCAACCAAGAGAAAAATCTTAAGACTCAGGCTGAGCTAAAGAACAAGAACTCTGGACCAGAGGCATCTGTCAATTATAGTGGCAACTTGAATCATCCAAGTTTTCATTCAATGTATCATGCACACATAACATTTTTTTAACTTCTAGGAGTTTTCTTTAAAATAGCATATTTTAAAGCTTCTTCAAAACTTAAAACTTCTTCAGTGCTTTTTGTTACCTGGGCCACTTCATCTCTAGAATTCCATTTAACAGACAAAAGTAATTTGGGCAGAATTTCTGGAGTATTCACACAATAGTGTCTACAAAAGAGAAAAAAGTTGCATGTAAAAAACATTATTTTTGCTTCAATAACCATCTACTATGTCCCCACAGCCTTGCACCTTTTTCTTCCTTTGTCAGCAGAATCCCATGGATACCCAGACGGCTGTCAGGATCCATGCATGCAGGTAAGACTGAAGCAACAGGGAAAATGTGAACTCATTCAGTAACTGACTTTTCTCCATGGCCTTAACCAAGACATACAGCGCAGAACACTTTGCAAGCCTTGTCTAAAATACCAACTCCACGGTATGGAGGAAAAGGGAGCAAAATCCAGCATAATCATGACAAATTTAGAGGGAACGGGGTGAAGTCTTGTTATGCCAACAAGGGTTTTTCTTTGGTTTGGTTTTTAATTTCCAATACCTGTGTCTCCAGAGGAAGTCCTTCTCTTGCTCAGTGATTTCAGACAGAGGGTCTCGTGTGCAGATGGCTCGCAACTGCTCCTTGTCACTCTCTGTCAATTCACTGTCTCTGGCTATTCTGTTACTCTGCAGAGAGAAAGTGGTACCTTAACCCTCCACACAATTCTTTCTGTTGCCATACAACACACAGGAAAGTGTGTTTAACACAGTATTTTAACATTTCAACTTAATTAGCAGTGTGGAGAAATGGCAGCAGTTGATATCTGATGAACAACATAATGCAGCACAAAATGAAACTGGTCATTTCTACCCCCAGCTTGAGACTGCTGAGAGCTGTTGAGAGGAGTGAAAAAGATTCAGAACTAAAAACAAAGGCTTTTCCATATTTAACCACTATGAACTTCTTCTATGGTGTTGTAAGGATTATCACCAAAAAAAGATAAGATAGTAATTTGAGACCTTATTATACTTCAGGGTTTTTTTTTCAATTGTAAAGTGTAAGTTGACTACTACTTTGCCACTGAAGTGAGTTTATCCTCCTCACCATTTTTTATTTTTGCCTACAGACAAAAAAAAAAACCGAGTTGAGCATATACAAGCTCAGGTAATAGGCTGTGTTATAGCAAAGGAATGTTATTTACCAAGAAGCCAGCTGGCCTTAAACATTCATTGAGAGCCCTGCAGCATTGCTGCATAAACCACAGCAGATATGCTACTCTATGAGGGACTTCCTGCAGAGTATCAAGAGAAATCAAATGCCTACAGCCTGTTGTTCAAGATATGTTGATATGGTATAAATATCACCAGAATTCCCAAACTGGACGCTCACTACCACCTACGCAGTTTTTGGCACAGCGAAACTTTCCACCACGAGACTCTTCTTCACACAGACCATGGAGCTCTCTTGGGGAAACTCTCAAGTCTTTGAAGCAGCCTCCAGAAGAAAATGTAAAACAACTGATTTCACAGCCATGGTTTTAAATACAGAGCAATTTTAGCTTTGCTGCTTTTCTTTTTTAACTTCTTTTATTCATCCAACAAGTGCTTTGAAGAAAGCTCCAAACCTCACCAAAAAGCCAACTGTCAACGCCCAAGCTCCCTTCCGTGGAAGAGAAGAGATAAAGGACTACACCCATGTGTGTGCCAGTCAATTCTCTTAAAATTCCCTCTACTTATGGTCGGAACTAGCCCATAAAACAGACAGTAGAGAGTTTAAGCACCTCTGGGTTACACAGGAAAGCCTACACATAAACACGAAACTGCAACAAGGAAAAACAGCGTCACTGATGGAGAATTACAACTTTTGAATAGTTAAACTAAGTATTTCAGACACCTGAATTAGCAATACAAAAATGTTAAAAATGCCCTAACATTTTGTACAGCAAGACAGTTTCTCTTTGAAGTGTTTTGGTTGGTGAGTGAACCATTAGGTCAGTTTACTGGTAATATAAAGAAAGGAGAATATATTACTCATTTTACTAAACACACAACAAAAAATTGATTACTTGATTTTACAATAAATCAGGGTATAAAAGAAAAAAGTTTTATCACTAACATACTGAGTAAAATAAAGTAGTAAATAATACTTTCCTATTTCAGTAGCTGATCTTGGAAGGGGGGGTTTACCTTACCTGCCCTGCATAGCTGTAGTTGAATCCCAGTTCACGTGATATTGTCCAGTTGGCATGTTCTTCTATCACTGCCATATCTGGAAACTTTACAGGATTGCTAAACCAGTCAAACTCCAGCTCTAAACATGGAGTTTCCTGTGTAAAGGGAATTCAAATTACTTTTTCTGTCGAATGATACTTATTAGAATACAGCATATTTTGAAAATATACTCTTGAGGAAGCTGGCATGCAAATACCTTATTTGGATTTGATCCAGTAACACCAATAGGATTCAACAAATCCTCCAGCCCATGAGGTACTGCCCAGAGATTCAAAGCCATTTTCCCAGATACAAGAGTGTCTGTGTAATCGAACATGTTTATATTTCCCCAAGCCAATGGACAGTGCTCCTTAAAGAGATTAAAATATGATTTTTTTCAGGGTCATCTATGAATTACTGCAGAGCGAGTCAGAAGAAACAATATATTCCTCCCAGATCAAGTTGTTACATTCCCAGCTTAGCAGAAAGCAGATTGTGGAAGCTGCACCGTACTTTTCTGTGAATGACTGTCATAGCAATCATTTTACACAATTATATCAAACGACACATGCTGACACCTTCCTCACATCAGAATAAGTCAAGATGATGTAGAAAGTTTTTTTGACACAGAGAGACTTTTTACCAAGGCCTGTAGTGAAAGAACAAGGAGCAACAGTTTTAGACTGAAAGCCAATAGTTTTAGATTATGCAAAAGAAATATTTATTATTTTTTTTTTATTGTAGGGGTGGTCAGACACTGGCACAGGTTGCCCTGAGAAGCTGTGGATGCTCCATCCCTGGAAGTATCCAAGACAAAACCCTCCTAATATAGTACCTGTGACACACACTCAAACCCAGAATGTAATGATGCTGGTGGCTAGAATTAGATGTTGCACGTAAACTATTAAAAATTATTACTTGAGATCTTTCATCAAATGCTATAGGAACACAGATTTTCTTTACTTGAAAATTCAACTCTAAAAGTGTAAATATCGTCCTTTAAAGATAAATAAATTAGTAACATGGGTTTACAAAATTAAGTTTAAAGGCATTTCCACCTCAAAACACTAACACTGGTCTTTGTGTCTGGAAATGCAGCATAGACGTGATTTACAGGGCTCAACTCATAAGCTTTTTTCTGTGTAGTTTAATTTCCAAACACAAAAATAGTGGTAGCCTGAATAAGACACAAGAAAAAAAACCCCACCCTATTTTAAGCAGATTCAAATCAAACAGTGCACTAAGACTCCTTGCCAGGACAGCATTTACCACATGTTTTTCCCAAACTTGATTTAAGTAGCTTTTGCTCATTAGTGCATTAAATCCATGAAGCATTTTACCTCCTTAGCTCCCTTCCGGCCTTTAACGGAGCAGATCGAGAGGCAGAGCCGAGCAGCACGTGGGAGATCAGGAATGTACATGTCATACAACAGCCATTCATTCCATCTGCAGGATTCAGAAGGCAGAATTAAACCAGGCTAAAGGAGAGCATGCAGGCAAGTGCATTCAATCAAGAGTTACACCAAAAGGCACTTGTTATATTCCAGTCTAAACTCTGTATGTGCATAAAGAGTACATTTTCTCACTGAAAAGGGATCTCCATATACACATTTGACCACATCCACTTCTTTTGGGAATGGTAACCTCCCCAGCAGCCTTCTAGCACCAACACTGTTTAAAAAATCGTGGTAGGTTCCATTCCTGCAACCTAAACATAATGGATTTGCATATATACAATATATGCAATATAAACCTTACCGATGTAAGGTTTAGCCTGTGAAATATTTTTCACTTCAGGGAAAAAAAGAAACTGGGAAAAACGTGGCATAGCTTTCAGAACTGAATCAAATTTGAACTGCTGAAAAAGATAACTGCAAGATGGGGATATAACACGGAAACTCAAATCAATATTCCTAACTCAAAGATTATTTTATTTACTATAGTAACAAGAGCACAGATTGGTTCTGTTTTCATTAGCTTCTCTAAGTAGAATTTAGCTCTCAGTTGGAAGTACTGTGCTTCTGAAGAGGAACTTCTGAATACAGTTTCTTCTCCTAAGCAGATTGTCATGTTGAATTTTCTCAGTTGAAAGAGGCAGCAGCTTCCAAGGACAGCATTAATTTTTTCAATGTGTCTGTAGCTACTAAAAGCAGTTTTACATAGAAATAACTGTGAAAGCCTTTCTCTAAGAATGAAGAAATTGGCAGATAACCTTCAATTCGCTTTTCTTATGTGTTCATTTCATAAAATAGAAATCTGTGCAATTATATTCATGTTTTTAAGTCATAACCTTCACCACCTTTCCCAGATTTTCTCTCTGAAACAGTTTAAACTATCAGTTCAAGTACAGCTATATTCAGGGCAACTCAGAAGGAGAGTCTATTTTTCAACAACTATGTATATTATTAGCCCTTTAATTATAAAACCTAATCATATTCATAGAAAACGTACAGATAAAAATAAAAGTTTCAAAATTTATTAATAAAGACATGAACTCAGAAAATGCAAGTCAAGAATTACTTCTGCACACATACTTTGCATCTAATCCTAGCAGATGCTGGAACTTCACACCTCCTCATTAGTTAAAGTTATGAGAACAGGCAGCTAAAAGATGTCTTCAGTGTTTATATATAAACATATATAAAAATTGTTTTTGCCCTCGTGAGTTCAGGTAATTTTTTTTCCCAGATAATATTGACAGTATGTCAAACACCCTGGAAAATCAGCCCAGCTCTGGCAGTCACTTCCACGTTAGCAGGTGATACCCATCTCTCCACATCCACGTGGTTCCCCTTTGGAAAACTGTGCAACCTCCCCAGAACCAATTTGCAGGTTACATGACATCACACTGCCTCGTGCTGAGAGTGAAATCTGAACCTGCAGCTGGAACACCTGCTGCTGATCCACAGGCAAAACCAGAGCTCAGTTTCCTAGAGCTGTGCTGGTTTCACAGTATTAATGAGTGAATTATGAATTATAGTTTATATATATGAATTATATTGGTGTTTCAGAGGCGACAGTAAATGCTCATGTAAAACTGATCTGTTCAGTAAAGAAACTATACTTTTATATGCAAGATAAAATGCTTGTGTTTGAATTAAATTAATGTTATT